AATAATAAGGAAAATTATAAAAACAAATATATGCACACAAACACACAACAACAACATAACATTAAAAGCATGTCGTTATTGTAAAGAAAAAGGAAAACATTATACAAATTACAACCAAAGATACCAAAGATAACATATAAACCCAGTCCCAGTTTTACATGACATATTTTTAGTTTACCCTCATTGCCAATAAAGCTATGGATCAGTCTTGGGCCCTTTTCTTAGTTTTAATTCACTAAAAATGTTGCTAACTAACTGACTGCCACTTGTCTACATATATTCGATTGAAGGATTGCCTGCCTGAGACTTCGAATGGATCAAGTCATTAATTTATTTTAATTCACTATCCTGCTTAGGGGATGTTCGGAACACGCTAGCGGCTGATAGGCGCTGTTCGTAGAAGGAGAAGAAAAAAGGCAGCTGTATTTGGTGTACGTTGCGCAAACGGGGAAGGAGACAACGGCAAGCAATTCTCTTCTAAGGACGATAGTGCCGTTGAATAATGTCATCTTGCGCCGTATGTTACGAACTTGAAGATGAGTGTGCGGAAACGCTAAGACATCCGAGTTAACTTAGCCGTGTTAAGTAACTTGATTTTTTGACAAATTTCTTTTACCTGTGCGCATCACTTGTCTTCGATGCATCTCTGTAGATAGGCACAAGGGAGCCTACATGCACTGATGTGCACAATGCTGAAGCGGGGGTAATGTGTTTGCTTTACCCGACCAAGGGTCTCAGGTCAAGAAGAGTATGCTCCCACTTTAATCTTATGCGATATAAAGGCTGTGTAAAGAAAGGTGCGGATCTCGTCTGCAGTAAAGCCGGTTTTCGTTTTTAAAAACCTATGTGCTTCGACGGTTCAACGAGCCCTTTTGTCAATTTCACGCTAATGAGATCATGAGTTACCGATGCTTTTACTTCAGCATCACTAAAAATATGATGAATTTTATACTATTGTGGTAGACTGTTATTAGTCTTGTTGCATACTCTCTGGCAAGTTAAGAATTTTCCATCTCTTTCATTAGACCATTGAACATATCACAAGTAATGGCTTGAATAATACACCAATGTCGACGAGCGACAACATAGGCTACATAAAAGGATAGGTGAAGTCGTAGTAATTCGATCAGAATCGATTCAGAATTTTATGCTCATCGAGAATATATATTATATATACTTTGCGGGGTATCTGAAGTTTCACTGTGGACGTTGCAAATGCTTTAACGAAATAAATATACCTCTTATCCGTGGGTGATCGGATGGTATAATAAATGCCGTCCATTTCAATGTCAGTACAATTTTTTTCTTTAGCTTTTTCAAATAGTCCAACGGATTGAGGAATAGTAATTCTTGCTTCATGTATTTCCTGAGTTTTGGCTTTCGTTTTCGTTCTAAAACAATTAAGTTTTCCTTTACCCACCTTTTTCATGAATTCAGTCCCTTCTTGCCTTTACGCTATCTTGAAGGAACCAATTTTCTATTTGTAGAGATGAAAGGTTGTTGAGATCGCCATTTAATCTATAAGCTCTTATCATCACAAACATTCTCACTTTTGTGCTCACTCTTGTGGTATGCATTTTAGTCCTTGTGTATGTATGCCAATATTATGAAACGAGTAGCATTGATCGAGATTCTAGCGATAACAAATTTAGCACTAGCGCAACAGTGTTATCGCTTTACCTAACCCTCCCCCATCCATTTCTTCTCACATATATTCTTACAAAAAAAAATAAATAAATAAATTAGATAAACGGTGTAAACGTTTCTTCTAACAACTTTATCGTTCAACATTCATTAAAATTAATGCTTGTGCTTTCTTCTCATCGTTTCTATCACGTTTCCGCATCGAATTTGATATTCCGGAGTAAAACGACAATAACAAAACTTTTTTCAATATTAATTTTGCACTAAAACGGGATTTTTAATTTATGAAAATCACAAATTGTCGTGTAAAGTAAAAAAAAAAAATAAAAAAAAAACGCGACGTTACAAAATGAAGCAAATTAAAACTAAAGTATTGTCTCTGAGCATAATAATAATAATTGTTACCTCTCAAAGGTTGCAATCTAATAAAGCTGAACAAATATTAAGTTTTTTTCGTACGCCTGCCTTTACCCATTTTCCAAAATATTCCATAGAAACATCACGATTCATTTTTTTTTTTCATTTTTAATACACTTTTCTAGTTTATTTTAATTTTTCAAAATTTTCTCTTCATAACTCTCACAAATGCTCCATGCGACATGCTCAAGAGCAGAACATAAAAATATGTTGTTTCTTGTTGTCTTCCAATTTATGCTTAAACGTCTTTTAAACGCTTGGTGCAAAAACGCACCAACGAGACCGTTTTTACCGTCGCTTGGCAGAAACATATGGTTTGATGGCATAATGTATGTATCGGAGATTGTGCTCAGCAAGATACTCTAAAGTGCACAATATTGTAATTCTGATTCGACACGTCTACCCTACGCCACGCTATTTATAAGTAGATACTATTCTCAGCCTATGTGTACCATTTTCGGTACATAGTCGCTACAGTCAATTTAACAATCCTTAAAAGTACTTTTTTTTGCAGTTATATGAAAAATAAACTTTTCGCCATGCCCCTTCGAAACTTTACGGACAGTTTTCCAAACATTATTACGAGGCATAAGATAATGCTAGCAATCAAATTTTGAATTTCTATTTAAAAAAAAAAAAAAAAAGAAAATGGTCTGAGCATACAAATGCATCTAAGCCTGTATTGAAAAGAATAGGCGTGGCAAGAGACATATTAGTGAACAGACTAAGCCCTGCTGAAAGAATTTTGTAGCTGCAATCGCAAGTCTGGAGAATAGAATATCGAGAAGAAAAAAGCTGACAGACAAATCTACCTACCATAAGCGTCAGTATCTTTTTAAAATGAGTTTTTCTTTCAAATAAAACAAAAAAAAAAAAAAAAAATTTAAGCTTGTTTACAACTTTGGTCGAGAGGATAAATTCGATGACAATCGTTTTCATTTTGATTGAAAATTTTGAGAATCAAGTTTTCTTTATACGTGGGCATCGTCTTAAA